CTAGTAGCTTCTTGTTCGTGGTAGTAAGGCCAGGAGCCCCTAGTAGCGTCCTTGCTCCTAGTAGCGATGCTAGGAGCCCCTAGTAGCTTCTTGTTGCTAGTAGTATGGCCAGGAGCTACTAGTAGAGTCCTTGCTACTAGTAGCGATGCCCTTTGTTACTACAGTAGCTACAAAAGCTTGAGAATGGTCCGTCCGGATCGGTAAAGATTCCTATTGGAAGTTGCCTTGTGTGGAGCCTACAACACCTCAATCAGAAAGTTGTAGCTGCATGACACACATAGAACTCGTAAAACTCAACATGTGACCCAATGTGCCGATGGTCGTTGATTTAGTTGCTCCGTGCTCGTCAACGACCCGCAACTATTTGCATCCAACGAGCAAATTCAAAAGTTGCGCGCGGGAGTGTGTGGGTGTGCGCGTTTGTGCGTGCCGATGTACAATTCTGCCACAACTGACAACTGATTCATGTAAATTACCAGTCTGTCGCCGGGCAGCGTAGCATGTGAAGAGCAGTACAAAAACCAGAAGCAGCACTAATGAGCTTGCCAGGACATCACGAGCCTTGGTTGAATCTAGGATTCACGCCAGTTAAGGGTTTTGTCTCCGAATCCAGTGCTGACGAAGGAAGGCATATAGCAAAAGTAACCTCTTGTTGAAGACCTTGATTGATTCATCATTGCTTTGATGATCGTCCACATAAAATGCTGACCGTTGCTCCTCTTGTCTTGCCGGTTGACTGGTGAAACAGCACTTTGAACCTGAACTACACAGCCCGTAAAATCCCATAAATTCCTCCAAGGATTCCCAAGGTCAAAGACTTTGACTTGCTTGATCACAAGCGAGAGGCGAGAGCGATCGATTTTCATGGATGTTCGTCCGAGTCTTGACATTGGATCTTTGGCAGGATAAAATATGGTTTTGATGCTCTCTTGGATGCCAATTTGCACCAATCATGCGCAGCTGGACAGCAAATGCTTTAAACCTCTACATGGGCCAAGGTGCTGCTCGACGCCGGTTCTGGACATACTGGTCCCGGTCACGGGCATGCAAAGAAGTGTCCTTCCATGGCTGATTTTATCAAAGAACAGCTACAACTTTCAAATCTGCTAGTTCCTGCTAGTAGCACTGCTTGCTCTAGCTTAGCAAACCACACAACATAAAGCGAAGACTGAAAAACAAGTTACGGAGCCTGCAGCAAGGGTGTTCGCTCTATGGAGTCAAACCTAGGCCCGGAGGAGCCACCCGATCAACCCAAAGAGAGTCAAGTTTTGCAAAGCATCTTTGCAACCCAAGCAGGCTCTTCCACCTCTTTTCAGAAGGGCTTCGTGGCTCGGCAGTTAATCCAAAGGGCAAACAAGCATCAAAGGCCACATTGTTCCGGAGTGGACTGAAAAAGAACGGGGGTCGGATAGTTACAGTATTTGCCTGCAATCTGATGAATCTGATGAAACCAAAGGAGGATGAGGATGGATCAATCTGCAAACGCAGCAAACCCTTCATTCAGGAAGGCCCAACCCTCGTCGAGTGGAATCCTTTTCTGCCTCACCTAATTGAGCTGTGGCCGATGCAACCCTTAATACTGTATTTGCAAAATGCAGTATATTTCATGTGGCCAAAGCTACCTTTGCGACAAGTCCAGTCTTTTCCCCTGAAACTGTAGGCAATCCATTTTGATGATCAAGCAGCACATCCAGTTCGTCGGAAATGAAGCGTCTCAGAATGGTAGCTCCAGGATCAATGATGGCTAAGTCAGAAAGCCCATACACAAAGGCCCTCAGTCAGCAAGATTGAAACACTTTGCCGAAGGGCAGGGTGCTATGGGCAAGAAGCCGTTGCGGAGGCTTGGACACATCCCGTCCCTATTAAGGCATAGTGGCTCAAGGAAAATTAATGTGGATTCTGTATTCTGGTCTCCCACCCATCTTCTTCAATTAGTGGAATCCAACAACTTGCATCTCGAAGCTGTGGACCGGACCTGACAATTACAAACGGCCAGTGTGAAGCGAACACGAGCGCTGAATAGTCACCGGTCAGCAAACTGAGGTAAATCATCAGCAATGTACTCAGCTCGACAGCAACTGAGATCCCAGGCATTTGTGTATTCCATGTAGTACAATATCGATAGTATTGGGTCGTTTGCGAGTTAGGGCCAGCGTTGGACGCTTGCACCGAGAAGGCTTGACAGTGCAAAAACAGGTGCATCGGCGGAATCAATATATTCCTTTGAAAGCGTCCGCAAGTCAGCAAGTCAAGGTTTGATGCGGCTTCGAGCATCAGTTCCACACATCTGACACCAAGGAACCCACCCTTTACAGTATAGTGATTCAGTCTTCGAACCCACCCTCATATTTTGCAATTCCTTAATTGTGTGTGTGAACCACAAACAAACAAACTGGACTCATGTAGACTTGACCACTGAGCCTGAGCTTACTGCTCCCGTGATAGAGCCGACACAAATTCGCACAAAAATTGAAACCGTCTCTCCTCCAGCTCTTGCTCACGAGAGCTTGCCTGGAATTTCCCACACCACGAAGCCATCATGGCATGTAAGACTGCACAAGCAAGAAGCAAATTCCAAAATCCTCTAATCCTCTATGTCCAAAGGACAAGTTAACTTGAACGTTTTTGGAAAGGGGCGTGGTTCACTTGAACCTGGATAAGGGTATATGGCATATGGTTCACTTAAAGTGCATGATCCCCACACCAGAGTTCTGTAGGGTTCCACAAGAGTCCACACAAAGAAAAGCACAGCTGCAGCAAACACAGCCGCAGCTGCAGCTGTCCATTCAGGACTTCGAGCCCAATGCATTTTGTTGACTACAGTCGCTGTCCAACATTCACCAAACATTCACAAGCTGTGCTTGAATCACGTGTTTCGCTGCTGTTTCCCTGGCTTTAAGGCCCCAACATTCATGGGGTATTCACCCAAACTCGCTGAATAGTCTTTAATGACCGATATATATATATATAACCCTACATGACTACGTTTGTTTCAGCGAGGACTCAAACAACAAATACATCAAACTCCAACTGTTTTTGAGAGATCTGGCCAAGGCATGCAGGTGCTTTTGATTGAGCCAGACCTCGATCTGGAACGGACTCTTGAATGCCGTTAATTTTTCCTTGACAATCGATTAAACATGTCACTACAATTTAAGTTTGAACGTTCTACAGTTTTACAGAACAAAAGTGCAAGTTGCTCGTGACCTGCCGAAGATTCCAAATGATCGCACCATTGCATTCGTACAATATCTCTTGCCCCATTGCGCGTAGACTGGCAAGTGGAACTAAAGACATGTAGTCAATCACAAGAACAAAGTCCGCATGCAGCTGCCTCTCTTGGCCGCTTGGCTTCCGCTGCCTTCCAAGTGGGCACATGACAAGGAGCGCGGGCAAAGGGCACATCAGCAGGGCGTTACAAACATGCTGCACGGATCAACACATACAAACAAATCAAAAGTGGTCTGCACTCCTGTGCCCTAACAAATGTGTGCACTGCTGTGACAAACTCACCGATCGATAATGATACCATAATTTATCCTGAACTGTTGCATCTTGATAAACTTATCCCGGAACAAACCTGCGGAGGCATCAGTCAAAGCTAGGTCTTACGATAGAAAAGTTCGAACCTCTGACAAAGGTCGACCACAGTGCCGGCAATAGTTGGCATCCACCCTGAGAGGATTCCGCTTTTTTCCCCTGGATTAACCTGGTGGCCCTGGTGTGGCGCAAGTAAGCATCAGTGCCCTCTACAAACGGTCTCTAGTTTGCTAAACATAGTTAGACGTAAGCATCATGCATTGGCAGGTCCTCAACGATTTTTCGGTGTTACTATGGTACTATCTATGCCGTGTGTACAGTTGTGTTTGTGATTTCTGCCTCACTGTGATGTGACATGGTTCATAGATGTTCATAGTCTTCCAAAGCTTTTGCCAAGCAGCAAGAACAGGTTGTCGCAGTCGGGACATCTAAAATCCTGCTTGGGCACCAGGATGTACTAAATAAATTCCAAGGCTGCCTTTCTCCAAGCTAAAAAATAGAATTTGATAGACTCGATAGGAACAGGACGTTTTATCAGCGAGGCAAGGCCAAAACAGCCCGTCTATAGCTGTTAAAAATAGGAGATCAACGAACACATGGGCTTGTATAGCAGAGGCTATGACAAGTGTGCGGCTTTCCAAGTGTATCTTGTTTCACCTTCTTCTGCGACGGCCATATTCTTGGCAGCTCTGCCAAGTGTAATCTACTCAAAACGCAGTCGTCACACTGAGTAATTCTGGCAACACTCTGCCTGTTGTGTCTTGTCAGGCCCCAAACAAGTGGAAAAACCTGAGTATATCTTTGCCTGCAACAAAGTTCAAGCTTTGGTCATTGGTGGCCATTAAACTTCTGTCGAACAATCTTGCATAGATAGATCGATCGATCGATAGATAGATAGATAGACCCTTAGTCAATCTTCCAACGTTAAAAAAGTACTTCAACATTGCATGTAATCTTCCATTCAAAGGAAAACATATAAATCCTTAGCCCCAAACCGGAAGTTGTCTGTCACACAAACATCCTGTGGCCCTACCACTCACAAAGACCAGTGACAGGCGAAATGGAGTGCTGCTCAAAGCGGGCTATCCTTGTGATGCCCCTTCTTTCAAGGGCATGCTATGATTTCTATGGTTGGAGTTGGTGGGTAGGTAGATCTTTGCTACCAGGCCCACACATGCGGCACACGGTGATTTGGCTTTTCCAGAGTCCAAACGAGCTCACGTTGACCAACCAGTAAAAGCACAGGTTGGCTGCCGATCAAGTGATGAAAGCAAAGGAAGGCCATCGGCACCGCTGATTCACCAAATAGTGACTCTGATTCAAGAAGCACTTTGTGCTCAGAGTCGTAATTCGATCGTGCAATGTTGAACATCAAAGACCAACCAAGCACTTGGGTTTGCCAATTCTTATTGGACACAAACAGCTGGTTACTGGATGTGGGCCATTAGAGCTGTAAGTACCCAAGACCGGCCAGTCCAAGAGAAACCTGGAATCTACAAGGAAGCTTTGTACGGCGTTCACTTTGGACTGGGCCGACTTACTCCATTGGTAACCGCGTAAAGGTCGCTGGTGTGCTTTCTCTGCTCCTGTCAGTGACGCTGCATCACAGGGTTTTAATTAACGACGACAAATTGTACGGCAGCATACATTTTATAGGGGGTCAAAGTTTTCGTGAGGAACTTAAAGGTGATCTTCGGTAACTAGACGGCCCTTCGGAAACTCTTTGGACACTAATCTTTGGAAATTGGATGGTTTTCTTCGGAAACTCGTCTTCAGAGGGATGTGCCGTAGCCATCAGGGTACGCCAAGAAGACCACCCAACCCCCCCGACCCCCCACCCGCCCGTGCTCCATTCATGCAATCGGGAAGCAATGTGGAATTTCTGAAACATACTTTGCGAAGCATGCAAAATAGTTTCTGAAGACTAGTTGTTGAAGAGCAGTTGTGGAAGAGTACCAAATAGCTGCGGCAGAAAAGTTTCAGAAGAATGAAGAGTTGCAGAATAGGACTTTGTGATTTTTTTAGGTAGGCCACGAAGACCGAAGAGGTGGAGTTAGTAACTTAGCTAGAAGCAGCCAGGCAAGGAAGAAGCTGAAGAAGCTAGTAAACTGGACGCAAAAGGGCGAAGGGTTCTTCAAGCTTCCTTAACTCCCCAGACTTTTAGCGAACCGGCGACTTCGGTTCTGCTGCTTTCTGTCGTTTGTCATATATATATATGTATACACACACTATATATACAGTATACAAATGTCCCCGCGTTGTTGGGAAGTTACTCTGCAAACCCCTTGAGTCAAGAGTATGTTCTTTATATTTCTGAACCGTTTCACATCGTTTCACGATGTCCTCCAAAGGCGGTGGAGCGCAAGGAAGGTGAAGGATCCGGCAGCCCAGGCCTATCGACTTTGCCCTTCCCAGCTATTCAAAACGATTGCAGCATAAACAGTGCTTGCTTCATCTGAGTCCGCACATGCAAGCTGAGCAAAAGGACTGCAAAAAAAACTGTAGGTTGGAGGCCGTCACTATTAGGGTGGAGGCCATCGCTATTAAGGTGGAGGCCATCGCTATTGAGGTGGAGGCCATTGCTAGTAGGTTCACTTGTCGGAGAACCCGAGGCCCCAGCGCCAAGAATCTGGACAAACCGTTTGCTTTCCAAACCTTGCACGTGTAGGCCATGTCTGATTGTGGGATAGAAATGTCTCCACCGTGACTGTAAGTGCTGCCTTTGCTGAAGCCCAGGGGGGCTCTTTGTTTTCAATTTCCATCCACCTGTCTTGCAACCAGCTCAATTGGCTTAGTAAAACTGGAAAGCATATTCGCGCCTTGAACCTCACATACATGGACATACGGAATCATACGTCATTAGAAAATACTACTTTGCTGCTTCAATTGCACATACTTCTGGAGGAAGAAAGTGTTTTCTTCTTGCCGGGTCTTATAACATCTATGTGGATCAGCCGCGGTCGAAGCAAGAAGTCCATTTCGCATGGCCGTGTGGGACGATCAATTATAACAATCAGTAAGTCCAGGAGCCCCTAGTAGCTTCTTGTTCCTAGTAGTAAGGCCAGGAGCCCCTAGTAGGGCCCGTTAGTAGTAGTAGTAGTAGTTAGTAGTTAGTAGTTAGTAGTTAGTACTTAGTACTTAGTAGTTAGTAGTTAGTAGGTAGTAGTAGTAGTAGTAGTGGTGGTGGTGGTAGTAGTAGTAGTAGCAAAAGTAGTAGTAGTAGTGGTGGTAGAAGTAGTCGTAGTGGTAGTAGTGGTAGTAGTGGTAGTAGTAGTAGTAGTAGGTAGTAGTAGTAGTAGCAGCAGCAGTAGTAGAAGTAGTGGTGGTGGTGGTAGTAGTAATAGTAGCAGTAGTAGTAGAAGTAGTAGGAGTGGTCGTAGTAGTCGTAACCGTAACTGTGATGTTAGCAACAGTAATAGTAGTAGTCCTAGTAGTGGCAGTAACAGCCGTAGTAGTCGTAACCCTAACCCTAAAGACCTATAATAGCAGTAGTAGTAGTAGCAGCAGTAGTAATAGTAAAAGTCTTGTGGAAGTAAAAGTGATATTAGTCGTGATAATAGTTTTCATACTATAGTAGTTGTCTTAGTAGTCGTAGAAACCCTAAGCTATTTGGAGAGCAAAGCTGCTGCACTCAAGTCCGCT